ATGGAATCAAATATTTGATACTCCAAGTTGAGACTTATAAAGACTTGCACCCTATAGTGACTGATTATTATTTTACATCAAAGTTAATGGATTCAAAATAATTATTATTATTTTTAAAAAGGTCAGTCTTTCCAAAGAATATTTCATTGTTCTTACTGGTGGAAGAAGGCTCCAACTATCATTTGCTGTAAATGAATGGTTTCTTTTGCTTTAAAACCTTTTCAAAACAATGTTTAAATAAGGGCAGGATTCGATTGGAAGGTATTATTTGAACTTGTGAGGTTCATTACAGATTTTGTTTTGTTGATTCCAATATTTATTTTGTAGGGTCCTTCTTGTATATTACTCATAAAAAAAATTAAGTCGATTTAATAATTGTAATATGCTCAATTAATTCTATTTGTCACAATATATATACATATATATTCGGTCTATTTTAAAATTACATTTGTTTTTTTATATTTTTTAGACATGTGATAAATTAGTAGTTTATGATTATCAAATTTATTTAATTTTATGTGTAAATAATAGGAAAAATTATTTATAAATCCTATTAGGGAGACTTATGCTACATATGGTCCTACTAAAAAACTTATGCTCCCGTAAGTTCTGTGGGAAGTTTGTTGACACATTTACCCTCAATATTAGTTGTTAATATCATAAATAATAGTAAAATCATATATAAGAAATTGAATGTTAGCATAAATTATATCTATATAAACGCAACGTAACGTGAAACCTACATAAACGTAACGTGACACCTGTACGTAACGTGACACCTACATAAACGAAACGTGGCACATGTACGTAACGTGATACCTATATAAACGTAACGTGACACTTATGATCTATGTCAACATTCAATTTCCTATATAGGAAATTGAATGTTATCATATATCATATTTATATGAAACGTAACGTGACACCAACATAAACTAGCAATATTTTCACATTCAATTTAAAAAAATAAAAACTCATTAAATTTGCGAAAAGTAACGTGACACGTTACGTTACGTTTATGTAGGTGTTACGTTACGTTTATTTAGGTGTCACGTTACGTTTATATAGGTGTTACGTTAAATTACGTTTATGTAGGTGTCACGTTACATTACGTTTATGTAAGTGTCACGTCACGTTACGTTTATGTAGGATCTTGTGGAATATATTCCTATCTAAATAGGACTTGAGACTCTACAAGAAATTACACATGACTTAACCTAGCATAAGTGTCTAAAAAAAAGACTTATAAATAAGTTTTCCTAAATAATATATATAAAAATTTTATAAAATAAATAATTTAAATTATCAAAATAAAATTAATAACAATATCTTTCAGTTAAATTATAGACGGAAGAAGAGAAGTCCAACTTCAAAAGAAAAGGTTAAAAATAAATTAAAAGAAAGTAATGTCTCGTTTCCCACTTGAAAGTGAAGGTTTTATTATTATTGTTTCTTTGAAACTTCTCAAAGGTTTCTTTTTGAATGAACTTCTTCACACAATGTCCTCCATCTTCTTCATAGCAAGTTTGAAATACGCAACACCTTCTCTAGTCTGAAATTAATTAGACAGTGTAGCTGGACTCAATTTTAGGCTCATTTCTATAATTTAAATTGTTTAATGTGTAAAATTTGTCGAGAATATAATCTTTATAAGAAATCATTTTAATTGAATATCGATAGTTATTTGATCAGTTTATATTTGCTTCAACAACAATTATAATTTTAAAAATAAATAGCAGACACATGTAAGGTGATCAAGTAGTTATTGATATCCAATTAACTTAATTTTTTACAAAAAATAATGAATTCACCGATTTTTACAAATTGAATATTTAAATTATCGAGATGGGTCCGGAGTTGGATCTACTGTGGTCTAACAGCACCCCGTCCAATCCGTAGAGGAGCTGGCCCTTCAAATAATGCCAGTGGACTTGTGGATCCCTACCATCTTGACCTATGCACTGTCAAGTGTGTCAACTACTTGTCATAATTAATTATATATTTGGTGTAGTGGACATTCATGACTAATTGTTCAGTGGCTGCTCAACCCTATGCTCTGCTTCACAGAAGAGCCATTTATCTATGTATGCAAGCTAAGTTATTATTATTATTATTATTCACCTTGTTTGTTTTCACTTTTTAAAAAATATTTTTTTTAAAATTTTATTTTCTTATTTTTTATATTTTTATATTTTTATTAATTTTTTAAAATATTTTTTTACAATTTTTTTACTTTTAAGATACATTTAAGTGAGGTGTATCTAAAAAAGTTAAAAAAATGCTTAAAATTTTAAAAATATTCACTAAAAACAAAAAAAAAACATTAAAAAAAAAAAAAAAACTCAGTTTGCATTAACAATATACTTCATAACAAAAAATTAAAATCCCTTCACTGAACAATAACCAAAAAACTCAAAATTAGTCATCAAAATAAAATAGAAAGTACTTCTCTAATCCGCTTTAGAAACTCAAAAGGTCTAATAAATCTACTAGACAACTTCCCACTCTTCCTGAATCTCTTCAAGCCTTGTCTTGGGGATATTTTCAGGAATACATGATCTCCTACCTCAAAAGATAAAGGTCTTCTCATCAAATTATAGTTAAGTAGGTTAAGTGTTATATGAATTATGCCTAAAGGGGGTAAGTGTTAAAGCATAATTAATAACTAAGTGGTATGGCTAAGTGGACTCAACGTAGATATGCTAATTACTAATAATGAGTTTAATAATTAAGTAATATTTTAGATATATTTATATTGAGTTTAATGATTAAAATATTATTTTTTTGTCAATTTTACTTAACGAAAATAGTATGATAGTTTAAATTGAAAAGAAATCAAAATATTAATATTTAAATTAACAAAATTAAAAATTTAAGTTTATTTTATTGTAAGAATCAAATTTTCTGATTTTTTTTTTATTATAACTTTCCCTGTATGAAATTATTAATTATTTTCTACTTACAGCTTCAGATAGATTTCATCCACTATTACATTCAAAATGATGAAAAAAGGGTTTGCTTTCATTACATTTTTAATGCTTTGATGTTAGCTTCATTAAAAAAAAGTGTAACTAATTTAATGATCATCAAAATTCAAGATGTGATTCTCAAATTTTCTTGGTATAAAATATGTCATTAATTACACATTTCTTAACAAATGAAAGGGTATGTGAATCAACGGATGACTTTGCAATGAATGAAAATAATGCATAAAAAAATTCACTAATTCCCAATTATTGAGATTTTTTTTTTCTGGTAATAATAGGGCAGCAATATTATAGATAGAGAAATAAAAGATTACAAAGTTCTAAGATAATAGATCATCCTAAGAGCATCTCCAACGGTGAACCTTTTTTTTCATCAAATCTGATGAAAAGAAGGGTGATTTTCTCAATTTGGTATTACCTCCTCCAACGGTTACATCAAAATAATACTGGCTGGGGACAACCTGTAGAACGACCGGCCGGTCGACCGGTAAGGTAAAGAAAATAAGTTGGACCCCCTCAAGGAAGCACCCCCTTTGGCCAGTTTTTCTTTTTTCTTTTTCTTTTTTTCCTTCTCCTCCAATCACCCCCTGCCACGTGGCAAAGGGGGGTGAGGGGGTGACCCCCAAAAGGGGGTCCCAAGCATTATTCTTTGGTATTACCTCCTCCAACGGTTGCATCAAAATAATACTGGCTGGGGACAACCGGTAGAACGACCGGCCGGTCGACCGGTAAGGTGAAGATTTTTTTTTTTTTTTTGGACCCTGTTTGAACCTACTTATTTGAAAAGAGTCGATCGACCAGTGGGTCAACCGGCCGGTTGACCGGTGGCCCCACCTCCAACGTTCCTGCACAGTAAAATGATGAAACCTTACGCGTATTCTCAGTTTGATGAAATTTTTGCTTCATTCTCAATTTGATATCAGTTTGGTGAAACCATTGGAGAGGAAAAAAGTGATTTTTTTCATCAAATTCAAATTTGATGCTGAGTCTGATGCAACGTTAGAGATGGTCTAACATCATCAAATATTATATTACAAATACAAGGAGGAGAATGTTGAAAATATGAATTTCTTCATTTGTTGGAATTCCATAGGATATCGGCAGAGACATTGCTTTCTCTAAAAGTGTGGTTGATTATCTTTACTTCCACGCAGTTTATCAATATCTCATTAGCAAAACACTTGAATCTGATAGAAAGTCACAAGTTTGATTCTTCTACCTACGTTTAAGCCTTATATTTATAAATACTTATTTTATGTTATAATTGTTAATTCATTGTAATTTATTATATTAGCATCGTAATAAAAAAATTAAAAATTGAAGTATCAACCATGAAGTTTGAGTTAGCCATTTAAGAATCTAGATTTATAATTTTATTTCATTTTTTAAGAACATAAAAAATTATGAATTAAATTTAAGAATTTATAAACAAATTGTAATGGGAGCTTTTTTGATAAATCCATTTTCTAAGAGTTTTATTCCATCCAACCCATATTACAAATGTGAATTTTAAAATATGAATGTTCACATCATTAAATTGCTAATCGTTGAAAAAATATTTATAAGGGTATCAAAATTAAATATAAGGGCATAAGTGTCCAAGAAAAAAGTGTAAATTAAGAAAATGGACTTTATGGAATAAAATTATACATACATTGGACTAAATGGGTTAAAAAATACTTTCATGGATTTCTTGGGTTAAAACACTTCTAAATTGGACTTATCAATAAAAATCCCAATTGTAATATTCTGATCCAATAAATGACTAATAATTTTAACCGGCTTTTCAGCTCGGCTTGCGCCACAAGCCGAAGCCGTAGCAGCCGCCCAAGATTCTCAACCAATAATAACACTCCCACCTCCACCCCCCACCACCACGTGCTAGACTTTCGAACGGTCCAGATCTCCCGAACCCACAACATCATCCAACGTTCCACAAATCCCCACGTAATCCATTCTTATCGACAAATTGAACGGCCACAAAATTCCCACGTGTCAATCCCGATGCGATATTATACCTTCGATCCAACGGACCCTGCACCCCCTCATCACTCCCACACAAACGGAGACTCCAATCCGATCCAACGCAAGCCAAAATTTTCTCACATGGTCCTCCGCAATTTTCCCGGAAAATTCCCTCCCTAGCCTTACAATTTTCCCGCCAAAATCCTTATTCGATCAGTGAGGTGTGTTAATGGCGGATTCAGATAACGAATCGGGGGGTCACAACAACGCGAACAGTGAGCTATCGGCCAGACCGAGGGAGCAAGACAGGTTCCTTCCGATCGCGAACGTGAGTCGAATCATGAAAAAGGCTTTACCGGCGAACGCCAAGATCTCCAAGGACGCGAAGGAGACTGTGCAAGAGTGCGTGTCGGAGTTCATCAGTTTCATCACCGGCGAAGCCTCCGACAAGTGCCAGAGAGAGAAGCGTAAGACGATCAACGGCGACGATCTACTCTGGGCCATGACCACGCTAGGGTTTGAAGAGTACGTAGAGCCTCTCAAGGTTTACTTAGCCAAGTACAGAGAGATGGAGGGTGAGAAGACCACCATGGGCCGCCAGGGCGACAAGGACGGATCCTCCGGCGGCGGAGGCTCCGCCGCGGGCGGCGGAGTTAGTCCCGGCGGCGGTGGATTTAACGGAGGAGGAATGTACGGTGGGATGCAGGGGGGATCAACGATGATGATGATGGGGCAGGGGCACCATCATCATCATCATCAGGGCCAGATGTACGGCTCTGGTTATCAGATGGGGATTGGGAAGGGTGGTGCGGGCAGTGCGGGCAGTGGTGGTGGAGCGTCCACTGTGAGAAGGTAGGTAGTGATGAGTATTATACTGTGTAGTCAATCCTTTGATGTGGGTGATGTTGTTCTGTTCATAACTGTTTTTAGGACTTTTTTTTAGTTTAATTTTTTGCCTTTTAATCATTAACCTGTGGAATTTATAGAGATGTGTAAGATTTTTTTTTTTATTTACTTTTTTTTGGTTAATTTTGTGAAATTGAAAATGGTATAAGTGTAATTGTGGAAAGAAGGAAATGAGGATAATGATAATGCAAACTAGTGATTAGCTAGAATTTGTAATTGATGAAAGTGAAGAAGAAGAAGAAGATTCATGTAATGGAATGGAAGATAAGGGGTTGTTTGTATGAACTCTTGTTTTTTGTTTTTTTTTTCCTTTGAACTTGTTGGTTAGTAGTAGAACTTTGTGTGATTTGCAAAATTTGGGGAAGAGTTAGAATTGAGATATATTTATATGGTAAAAAAAGGTATTCTTTGTACTTTGTACATTTATGCAATGTTTTTTTTAAGGTAGGTTTCGTTATGCAATATTTAAGGTTGGTTTGGAATATGAGTTTTAACTATTTTAATTTAGGGTTAAAAAATTTTGTTTGGGATGAATTTTTTGATTTTTTGAATTTTTTTTAAAAAATGAAATAATTATGATTTGAACGTGATATTTTTTAGTCGGAAATAAAAAAAATTTAGGACTCGTTTAGTAATATCACTTTATAACTTAAAAGTCAAAATGTCATTAAAAAAATTAAAAAATTAATAATCTATACTAAAAAGTTAAAGATTTTTTTTAATCTATTTTTTGTACATGTTTTTATAAAAAAATTAAAAAATTATTTCAAATATATTAATTTTTTACATTATATTTTAATTAAAAAATTACTAAACAAATTTATTCCAAACGAGGCCTTATTTGAAGAAAGGGATTTATTTTTCATGTTTTTGTCTGTACATTTTTGGCCTTAGTTCCCTATTGTTTTGGGAAGTAGTTAAAAGTTAATTTTTTAATTTTTTTTATTGATATTTTTAAAAAATATATAAAATAATATAAAAAAGATGTGACCCAAAAGGAAAAGGTGACTTTTAACCTGTTATTCAAGTAATTCACTGTCAAAGTGATTTTCTTTTTTCCTTTTTTTTTTTTCCTCTCTTTTTAATCTCTATTCATGTTCTTAATCTAAATATAATTTTAGGCAGTATATATCATATCAAAATTTTGAATTACTTGGAGTTGAGTGGTTTTTGAGTTTAGATATAGGTCCCGTTTGGTAGAACTGTGGAAAAATGATTATAATTTATAGCCTAACAGTTTATCGCTTATAACTGTGAACATAAGTTGATTTTTGACTTATAAAATAAGCTTCTCCTCCCCCACTCAAAGAATAAGTTGATTTTTGATTTAAGGTTCGTTTGGCAAGAAGAGTTTGGGATTTTTTTGGCTATTTTAGCCGCAAAAGACAAAATAGGCTATTTTAGCCACAAAAAACAAAACATCACATCTAACTCATAATCATTACTCTCTTCTCTCACAAAAAAAGTCAAAAAAGCTAAAAAGTCAAAAAGTCCTTCCCAAACCAAGCTTTTTAGCTCAGGCTAAAATAACCAAAAAACCAAAAAGCCAACTCACTTCTCAAAAGGAGGCTTCCAAAAAGTTATAAGCTGTATTGTTAAACTGAACCAAACATATTAAAATAGTTTAAATTAAGCGAAAAGCTGAAATAAGTTAGAAATAAGTCTTACCAAACATGACCATAATATGATTTGGAGCATAATTGTTATAATTTTGAGTTACTTCCAAGTTGAGTTGTTTTTTGGATACGATAGATCATAATTTTAAGCCAACATGTTCTAAGAGAAGTGCATACATTATAGATTTGTCCTATTATTGAAATATTTTCTCTACTTGTCAAAATTTTCATTTTTATGTTGTGTTTGGTTGAAAGATTTGGGGAGGGATTTAGAAAGGAAAAGGGAAAAGGTGTGTGAAACTAGGTGAAATGTAGGTATATTTTATTCACATTTCACCAAACTTTTTCCTTTTCCTTTCCAAATCCCTCTTTAAATTCTCCAACCAAACACAACGTAAGTCTATGATTGGCACAATCAAATGGTAACTCATTTAGCTGTATACTAGCATAAAAATAGGCAATGGAAAAGTTCATTTCGAAACCGATATTGCCTCCGTTTGGTAAGTGGGTTGACTTTTTGATTTTTTGGCTTTTTAAACTATTTTAGCTTAGGCTAAAAAGTTTGGTTTGGGAAGGACTTTTTGGTTTTTTGACTTTTTTGATTTTTTTTTTTTGTGATAGAAGAGTGTAATGATTATGGGTTAGATGTGATGTTTTGTTTGTCGTAGCTAAAATAGTCTATTTTATCTTTTGTAGTTATAATTGTCATTGTTTATTATTATTATTTTATTTTTGTTGTTATTATTGCTTTTTTTTTTTTTTGGGGTACATGGGAGGTCATAGTTTGGAGTCTTGCTGTAGTGAAATTTGAACTGTTAGAATGGAATAATATTCCCGGCCATTCTTTAATATTGTGTTTGGTTGGAAAATTTGAGAAGAAATTTGAAAATAGAAAGGGAAAAGGGGTGTGAAATTAAGTAAAATGTAGGTATATTTTATTCTCGTTTCACTTACTTTTTCTCTTTTTCTTTTTAAATTCTTTTTCAAATACTCTAACCAAACATAGTGTAAGTTTGATTCACTAAAATTGTATTTGAATAGTAAATTTGTATAGAAATTTTAGAGTCAAAAGAAATGAAACGGGAAAAGTAGCAAAAAATTAACTTATATTTTTGTCACCTTTTCTTTATATTTTTTTCTCCACAAATCTGTGCAAAAATTTATAAACTAAACGGGAAATTCTATGGTGTGCATCCTTTATGCATCTTACCACAAAAATTTTATTATAAAAATTCGTAATATTAATTACAAAATAATAAATTTTGTCACAAATTGGCGTAACAAAATATCTAAAATTTTGAAGTTAATGTTACAAAAATTTATAACTTGTTTACGACATTTTTTTTTACACTAATTTATGACAAGATTATACATTTTATAATTAATTTTATAAAATTTTATGATAAAATTATATATTTTGAAATAACTCCTCGTACCATTTCCCAAACTAAACATTGCATTGTTAGTGGATGAAATTTCACTACTACTATAGTAGTACGAGTGCTTTCTATCTAGACATTTCTTTCTGATTGTCGAATAAGTGCATTCTATTCATCAATTTTACATTTGCTTGGTTGGTATTCCAAGTCGACCGATTGAGTGGGAGTGAGTCCATTCGGAAAGTTATTTTTTAGTGGAGAAATAACCAATTAGTGATGGTTGGAAAAAAAAAAAAAAACCCCTCAATTACATGGCAAAATAATAAATTCTAATTATTAAAATTATAAATATTTCTATAAATATGTAATTATTTTTGACAACTAAACCTAAATTTTAATTTTCCCTTTTTTAATAGTTTTTTTAATTAAAATATGAGGTAAAAACATCAAATATTTGAGAAAGTTTTTTTTTTTTTTAATTTTTAATAGAAAAATGTGTACAAAATAGAGTGAATGAGAAAGAATATTTAGGTCTCGTTTGTCAATTATATATTTTAGTTAAAAAATTAAAAAGTCACTATAAACTATTACATCACTCTTTTTATTTTTTTACATATCTTTTTATAAAAAATTATTAAAATAAAAATTAAAAAATTACTAAACAATTCTATTCTAAACAAGACCTTATTTGAAGAAAGGGATTTATTTCCCATGTTTTTGTCTGTACATTCTTAGGTCTCGTTTGAGAATAGGTTAATTTAGTAACTTTTTGGTTAATTGGCTAAAAAGATAGGTAAAAAAAACTTGTATGTTTGGGATGACTTTTTGATTAATTACGAAAAGCTGTGCAAAAAATATAGAGAAGCCATAATTATTGATTTTTTGGTATGATTAATTGGCTAATTGACTAATTTAGTAACTTTTTGATTAATTGATTAAAAAGGTAGCATCCCAAACGAGGCATCTGTACCCTATTATTTTGGAAAGTTGTTAAAAGTTAATTTTTTAATTTTTTTTATTGATTTTTTAAAAAAATATATAAAATAATATAAAAAAGATGTGAACCAAAAGGAAAAGGTGACTTTTAACCTGTTATTCAAGTAATTCACTGTCATATATGTTACTAAAAGTGATTTTCTTTTTTCCTTTTTTTTTTCCTCTCTTTTTAATCTCTATTCATGTTCTTAATCTAAGGTTAAGTTTGGCTAAACTAAAAAAGTGCACTTATTTCATCTTTTTATCTTTTTTGGGTCACATCAATCAACATCTCCTCTCTACTTTTTCTACACATAATACAAGAAAAGTCAAAAAGTACACTTATTTAGTCTTTCCAAACTTGGCCTAAATATAATTTTAGGCAGTATATATCATATCAAAATTTTGAATTACTTGGAGTTGAGTTGTTTTTGAGTTTAGATATAGGTCCCGTTTGGTAGAACTGTGGAAAAGTAATTATAACTTATAACCTAACAGTTTATGACTTATAACTGTAAACATAAGTTGATTTTTAACTTATAAATTAAGTTTCTCCTCCCCCACTCAAAGAATAAGTTGATTTTTGACTTACAAAAGTTATAAGCTGTATGCTAAACTAAACATATTAAAATAGCTTAAATTAAGTTAAAAGCTAAAATAAACTGGAAATAAGCCCTACCAAATAGGACTATAATATGATTTGGAGCATAATTGTTATAATTTTGAGTTACTTACAAGTTGAGTTGTTTTTTGGATACGATAGATCATAATTTTAAGCCAACATGTTCTAAGAGAAGTGCATACACTATAGATTTGTCCTATTATTGAAATATTTTCTCAACTTGTCAAAATTTCTATTTTAAGTTGAAGGATTTGGGGAGGGATTTGGAAAGAGAAAGGGAAAAGGTGTGTGAAACTAGGTGAAATGTACGTATATTTTATTCACATTTTACCAATTTTTTTCTTTTTTCATTCTAAATCCCTCTTCAAATTCTCCAACCAAACACAGCGTAAGTCTATGATTGGCACAATCAAATGGTAACTCATTTAGCTGTATACTAGCATAAAAACAGGCAATGGAAAAGTTCATTTTGAAACTGATATTGCCTCCGTTTGGTAAGTGGGTTGACTTTTTGATTTTTTTGCTTTTTAAACTATTTTAGCTTAGGCTAAAAAGTTTGGTTTGGGAATGACTTTTTTGACTTTTTTTGTGATAGAAGAGTGTAATGATTATGGGTTGGATGCGATATTTTGTTTATCGTGACTAAAATAGCCTATTTTGCTTTTATGATTATAATTGTCATTGTTTATTATTATTATTTTATTTTTGTTGTTATTATTGTTTTTTTTTTTTTTTTGGGGGGGGGGGTTTTTTTGGGGTACATGGGAGGTCATAGTTTAGAGTCTTGCTGTAGTGGAATTTGAACTGTTAGAATGGAATAA